AGGGCCCAAGAGGCTCATATTCCTGTGCACTTAACATCGCAAAGGCAAACCATTACTAGGCTGAAAATTGATTAGAGTTAATCTAAATATATAAAAAAAATCAAAAATACTCAAACTATGGTCACATGCATATATTGACTATCCCAACCACAGGAAACGAATTTAGGCGAGACACACTAATTATTGACTATTTTTATGCTTTGAAACTGTTCCCAATTATCCTGAATGGATTGTTCAAATAGCTCAAACCTACAGTGAAACATGCTAAAGACTACGAAATTTNAAATTTCTAAAAAAAAAAAAAGGAACAGTAACGTGATTAATGAGAAAACAACATTTCACTAAGCTAACATGAATACCAAAATCTCAACTGCAAACCCATAAATATACCTATCAACATGTTAATCAAAAACATTTCTAATGTTGGATATTACAGCATGCACGTAAGTAAAGAGAACAAATAAGATTCAACAGCTGCATTTCTTATTCCAAACTCAAATCTCAACTTCGAATACATTTAGGTGATGACCATGCCGTTAGTGGGAATACCTGGAAAGTGAGATGAAACAAACAGCAAGATGTCAGTAGCCAAACAGCAAGGCAACAGAACCCAGCAACCCAGAATTTCAACAAAATCAGACACGAAAAAGACCAGGAGGAGGTGCAACAATCAAAAACGAAAATCACTCAATCAAATGATAATTCTGCAAACTTCAAACCAGCTCAAAACCAAATTCCATCTACCTCACCCACCCAATGGACCAAGGATTGTTTCAGTAAGTTTGAAATTTGGAAGACAAAGAGGAAAATCAATGGAATAGTGAAAACTTTCAGCCGTTCTCTCTTCTCTATTTTCAGTTCTCTCCCCAAAAATCCTCTTCTAAGGCAAGAAAGAGTGCCTTTATAGGCAAGCAAAGTAGGGTAAACAACAAGTTTCAGTTTTGCATTATTGCCCTTTTTGAATTTTCGTTTTTGGCTAAAATGACCTTAATTAGAAATCTGAATATCACTTTAAACCCTTCACCCAGCTTCTAGGAAGCTTCCTAGTTGGTTATTTGAAAGATTCTCTCAATCGATTACCTAAATTACCCCTTAAAGACCTTGAAATTACCTCTCACCTCAAATGGGTCAGTTGGCCAATCTGAAGATCACATGGGTCATGTCTGCCCAAAACCCATATCAAAAGGAACTGATTTCTTGAAACGGGCCAATGGTGACCCAAACAAAGCCCACATCCAGAACTTAAATCAAACAATTGGCATTAAAAATTCCAACTGACCCAGACTACACTAAGGGTGAATTGAAGAGGAAGAATAATTCTAACCACCCTGAATAAGCTGGCATTAGCTCGAAATTAACGACTAAACCGGCAAAAATGAAAATCAAGTAGAAAAATTACGATGAAAAAATTAATTCTAATCATGCATCCAAACAGTTTAGAAATGATGATTTTAAGCGAGCTAGAACTAATTTACACTACACAAACAAGAGTCGGAAAGATGGGCACAAGAAGAGGAGAAGGAGTGATACTGGTTTTGACTGGAACAAATCGACGAGGGCGACGAACTTGGCCGGCGTCCATGGTCTGGTTGAAGACTGGTAATTCCCAGAGTGAGCCAAAACTTCCATTAATCCATTGTTCGGAGGGAGAACAATCAACTAACGTAAGTCTTGAGTCATATCGGGCCTCAGATACATAAAAATCGACATCAGGGATGGCTTAGGTTTTTTTTTGGATTCTCAGATTTGGAATTGAAGGGGAAAGGTGGGGATTCTGGGGAATTTCGTGTTATCCTCATGTTCAGTGGGGCTTGAGGGTTGCGGGGGAGACATTTGAGGCTGTTTGGTGGCGGTTTAAGCTCCGCTGCCGGCCGGAAATGGTGAAGAAACTCAGGGCGGCGGGTCTAGGGTTAGAGGGTGTATCTCTGAAGGAAGGAGACGATTGGGGGGGGGGGGGAGTGAATTTTCGGACAGTTATGTATAAAGATCCCCATAGTTCCAGAACCGTCCGATCACCAGAGATCAACGGCCCAGGCTAGCTGTTACAAAACGACGCCGTTTGAATTGGACTTGGGTGGGTCACAGAACTGGACTTGGGCAAGATTCGTTTGGGCTTGGGGAAGCTGATCTGAAGTGGCCCAAGAATCCGATTTTCTTCATTTGCTTTTTATTTCCTTTTCTCTTTTTTTTTTCTTTTTTTTCTTTTCAAATTAAACTAAAAACCTCCTTTTTGTCTTTTTCAAATTAAAATAAAAATCTAAATCAACTCTTAAAAACTAAATTAACTTACCCAATTATATTAAACTCTAATTGACAATTAACACAATTAATTAAATAACAAACATAACAAAATTCAAAGATAAAAATGAAGCAATGCAAAAAATAAATTATTTTTTGTGATTTTCTATTTTTGTAAAACCTTAATTACTAATTAAAAAATATGTACAATTAAATCCTAAATGCAAATGCAATATATAGTTTTGTACTTTCTATTAATTAAAATAAAATAAACATGCACAAACAAATGCAAACAATCAACAGAAATGCCACAAAAATCCACAAAATTGCAAATAATGAAAAGAAATTATTTTGTTTTGACATTATGGGAGTAATTCATATAGGGCAAAAATCACATGCTCACAGTAGGGAGGATTGTGATATTGTGCTTGTGACCACGTCGGGCGGATTGTGATATTGTGCATGTGACCACGCTGGGCGGATTGTGATATAGTACCTGTGACCACGCCGTGCAGATAGTGATACAGAGCTTGTGACCACGCCGGGATAATTGTGATCATTAGCACGTGAGTTGTCCGTGCAGTTGTTATATCATTTGCACGTGAGTTGTCCATGCAGCATATGAGTTTTCTGTGCGGATCCAGATATTAATATTATTGGCACATGAGTTATCCGCGTAGCACGTGAGTTATCCGTGCAGCACATGCGTTGTCCGTGCAGCGTGTGGATATGGATCCATCCCCCTAGGGTCACCCTCTCATGTTTCTCTCTTGATGGTGTACATGCGGATTGTAAGAAACCGAAGGGTTTCTGGTTGATGTGAACTCTAGTAGAGCTGGTTATTGGTTTGGTTCAGTTACTGAGATTCTGATGTGGGCCTGAAAGCCTGATGTGATTTCTATTTGGATCGGGTTGTGCGCCGCAACGGATTGATATTTGGTTATTGCATTTCTTCTTTACTTGCAATTTCCTTGGTTGTTTACCTGATTTATTTTCATATCTTCTTTATATGATGGATTGTTGATTGAGCTGAATACGCTGGGAAAATATATAAGCACCAAAGTGATTTTTATCTGTGATTTTATGATTTGATCATGTTTCTATTCTATCTTTGTTGGAATTTATGAACTTTACAGGTGATAGCGAGTATCATTTATAATCCTTGATTCTATTATCTCGCCGAGGTTGGTAATGATATATATATATATATATATATATATATATATATATATATATTCCAAACAGATGTTATATTATTTCATACTAGCTTTGTAAAACCTAAGTCTTAGCGGGTCGTAACTTGTACTACCGGTCCCTGCGTTATTGTATAAAAGTTCAGTTAATTCATCATTGATTCCTTATTAATCATATTTGGATTGTGTTGACTGTTAGGTCGCTTACCTAGCGGGTTGGGTTTAGTGTCATCGCGGTTAATTAGATTTTGGGTCGTGGCAGCCTCCCAATTCAGTCTCCTTTGTTTTATATGATCTATTATGCAGTTTCCATATTAAAAATCTTCTCTGGTTGTCCAATAATGTAATAGAATTTTTTGTTACTTTAAATTCAAGTCATGATCAGGCTTAATACTAGAAGATTAATAATGTCAGCTTATATTTCAAGAAATGATAATAGTTTGATGAGGAATTAAGAAGAGTTCTCATCTTGCTAAGTTTGCTAGTTCAATGATCCATTACCATTGAATATCAAAGTGATCATGTAATATCTCTTAGAAAAGAACAACTTAAGATAAACATGAATTTTGTAGAAAATTGGCAGGCATGAAGCCTGCCAATAGTTCCTCTACTTGAAGACACATTTGGCCCCTTGGCTGGAGGGGGAGTTTGTTGGGCACATGCCCATGTTGTTCAGCCAAAGGCCCAATGGCCTAATCCTATTCTCTTTTGGTTTCCAATCCTATTTGAAATTGGATTCGGTTTATTCTTATTTTGAGTAGGTTTTGGCTTTAAGAGAAAGCACCACTCATGATCTATAAATAGGACAACCTTGGAGAATTATTCTATGCTCATTAATACAAGTCTTTGAAAGACTTAAGCACATAAGAGTAGGGTTTTGAGAGAGCTTTCATCAAGAGAGAAGAGAAAAAAAAAGTATTTGTTTTGCTGTAGATTTTTATTCCGACCAGCCAACTTCAAATCACGTTTTCTGATTCGTTAACCGTTGGATCGGGCTGAAATTTTGACTGAATGTTCGTAACATCTTGGTCTTGGATTTGAACGGTAGAGATTGGATTTGGGGGCTCGTAGCATCTGATTTCGAGCCTCGAACAGCAGTTTCGTTTTGTGGATTATACTCTTTCTTCAATTGATTAGTTGTTGCTCTTGTTGCTATTGTTGCTCCGTGTTTGGCCCTTGTTGTGTAGCCAATTTGGAGAACTTTTGTAACCCTCTTATTGTTATAGTGGAGCTTTTTGGATCTTTATGATCCCGTAGTTTTTACCTTCGATTTGAAGGATTTTCCGTATTAAAATTTGGTGTTCTTTATCTTTTTTATTTTCGAATTTGCCTCTTCCTCGACATAACAAAGGTTCCTATATACATGATTCAAAATTTCCTTGCCAAACTATTTGAAAATAGATTTCGATCCGTAAGAAAAGTATTGCAAATTCATCGAAGTGAGAAGCATAATTATTATGTCAGTAAAAAGCTTGACTGTACCAACTATGAGAAAAGACATCATAACCGTCAAATGGCGCTGCACCACTCATCGATGCATGGTGGTGGAACAGAGGACAAAATTCAAGATCTAAAATTTTAATTTTTCCGTGTTTAAGCAGTATAACATATTCTTCCATGGAGCGAAGATATGGATATAGGAAGTCAAAGCAATTCGATGATGTAAGCATATATCTTATACTGAAGTCTCATATCCTGATAGGAGATGCTTGGACTATCTTGTTATGAGATCTCCAGCAAAAAGACCTTTTCTTGCATTTGGTTTCATTGACATTGGAGTGAATAATCTCCCACATAACTTGTATATCATTGTATCCTGAACAAGCCTCCATATCCTTGTAAAGATTCACTAATCCACTTCTATTTCCTGTCATTACAAATCATCAACTTAGGCCTTGAGGTGGGACAACAACAACAACAAAAAAATTGTTTCAAGATTTTCAGTAAGTGTATCTTACCTTTGTTTCTAACACTAAGAAATCTGCACTTAGTTGGAAATAGAAATGAGTTCTTGAAGTTGAAGCTCTTATTAGGAAGCAGAAATGAGCTGTTGAAGTTGAAGCAGAGCCAAAGCTTCCTCATTTCCTTTTCTACAAATTAAACCATGTCTTTGACCTTGTTACTATATATATATAATGCATAATGAGTCATTTATAGATATTAATCTTTTAAGAGCAAAAAATCCAAAAGGATTAGACAAAGTAGAAAACAACACCCAATAAGATGGAAAAGCCTTTTAAGTTCATATAAATTCATTTACATCTTGTTTGGATGGTTGTTACCCATGTATCGTATTACATTGTATTGTTATACCAAAATAATGTTTGTTTTTATTGTTTATTTAAGATTATATCGTATTGTTAAATGCATTGTTTCGGAACAACCAAAAGCCCCTTTTTATGAAACAACCGATTTGGTGTGGTGGGATCGTTTCCTATTTTCTTTTTCAGTTATGCCCTTACTTATTACTCCATAATTCTATTTTATCTTTTAATTTTTTTTATTTTAACTCCAAATCTCCAACCTATTGACCTACTTTGTCTTCTTCCTTTTTTCTAGAGTTGGTTTGCCCGTTCTTTTTATCCAAGTCTCCATTCGATTCTTTGTCTCTTTCCATCGTTTTAATTTTTTTTTTTATTGCTAATATTAGTTAACCTTTTTTTTCTTTTTTTTTAGGTTTTTGCTCTTGTTTGCAAGCTACATAATTAATGATAAATTAGTAGAAAGAAATTTTCTTAAATTATTTTTTTAATGTGTAATTCTTGATAAATTTTATTTAAAAGAATTAGGGGTATTTTAGTAAAGTTATCAGTTACAGTACAGTACAATACAGTCAAATCAAACAACAAAAATATTATTTAACAGTAGCAAATGATACAATCTATTCAAACATTGTATACATAAAACTATACAATACAGTACAATACAATACATTATAAAACAATGGGTAACAATAATCCAAACATAGTGTTACTTTCTATAACGAAAAATCGTAAAACCAGTTTAATTAAGGGAAATTTTGAATATTTGAGGGAAGGAAATAGACATGTTGAGTGGGCAGAATCTTTTTGGACTTTTGTTTTCCTACTTATTCTTTTGATCAAAAGATTCCAAGTCCTATTGTTTCTTAAGGTGGTGATAATGGGACCCTGGTCAAACGGTTTGTTGGATTTTCTTTTATTTGCTTCCGCCTTGCTTTCTTTCATTTTCTCATTTTTTGTTTGATTGATCATTCATCTTTCTTTGTTTATATTGTTTTTTAATAATTAGTTCACTTTCATTAACAAAAGAAGATCATATTTTGAAACATTTTAATTTTAAATTTTCTATTTTATTATTGATAATATATTTTTATAACCACATAAATGTGATGGCATATTGAAGAGTATAATGCTTTCTTAAACTAATCAAATAGTGTCACGTAAAATGGAAAGGATGGAGTAAAACTTCAAAACCAACCAGCTCCTAAAATTGCTTTATTGCAGAAATTATCATCAATTTATGTGCATGTGATTATATGGGGTACTATGTTGAGAAACAGCAAGAACCGAACGCATGTGGACTGAACTAACCAATAGTTCTTGTAATGTACTGAGCGGCAAGTGCTTGGATTGACATTTCACCAACTCGTTTACTTACCTTTAACCCAAAATTATGTTCTTATTCGGTTTGGTATACTGAAAAGTGGAATTACTGCTTCTTATAATACTTCATTGATCCCAGCTTATGTGATATTCTTTTTCTTAGTCCGTTACAAAACGAATCATATATTTTTTTACTTAGTAACAATTAACTTTAAAATGCTTGTATTATCCTTGCTAAGATGATCTAAACCTACAAAAATATCTATATCTTATTCTAGATCATAAATTTCAAAACTCTTCATTTCTTTCTTGAATCATAGATAAATTGGGACGGTGAGAGTAACATTTAATTTTATCCTAGTAACTAGGGTGGCAAAATGGTTCAAAGAAAACAGTTAACCACCCATATTATCCACTAAAAAATGGGTTGGATAATGAACTGTATAAAAACGGGTCAAATATGGATAAAAACCATATTATCCATTTAGAAAATGGATAACAATGAGTAACAATGGATAACCAATGGGTCTAACTTTTACATTTGTAAAGCCTCAAATTGGGGGTTTCTCAAGTTAGAGAGACTAAGAATCTCCCAAAAGTGATCATATACAATAAGTCATGGATAATATGGGAAACCCATATTATCCGCCGGTTAACCCGTTTTTTATTTGTATTAAATATGGGTCGGGTAGGATAATTGATCCGTTTTTTCATTACCCGTTTTCAACCCGAACCATCTCCGACCCGACCCGCCCGTTTGTCACCCCTACTAGTAACATGAAAAATTGGCATGGTACAACAACATATAAAGAGAATTGGCAATATTTTAGCCTTATAATTAGGTTTGGCAAAGGTAACCCAAAAAAATTGGCATTATATAGCCAAATACTAAATAACCCTAATTTCTTATTTATTCTCTCTTCCCATTTTTCTCATTCTCTCTCCCCGTATTTCTTCTCCAATCTTCTTCTTCTTCTTCAACCCTAATTTCTTATTTGTTCTCTCTTCTCATTTTTGTCTTCTCTCTCCCCGTATTTCTTCTTCTTCTTCTTCTTCTTCTTCTTCTTCTTCTCCTCTTATACTTGCACGCCTATATAAATGTCAGATTATTTCGCTTTGCTCTATATAGAAATAGAGAAGCGGTTCCTTTTTCCCTACCCCAGAAATAGAAACAGACAAGCCTTACATCCTCTTCTTTCAAAGTTTTGGCAAACTGGGCGGAGTTGCCCTTCGATCTCCTTGGTCTGATTGCAAAGTGTGTTAAAGTGATTGAAGATTTCCTTCTTCTTCTCTATTATTTTTTTCTATAGTAAAAAAGATAATATATGTATTTGAAGTGGTGTATATCTGTGTATATCATTATGTATACCCATGTGTATACCATATTGAATATCGTGATATACATTATTAGGTTTGGCAACACAAGTTTAGATTGGAATCAAATCGTCCAATTGATTTTAGGAGGGCAAAATTCATTCTGAATAAACTTACTTCAATTTTGTTATTGATCAATGAAGAAAAATAAATTATTGATATAATTGGTGTAGAGCAAGTTCTAAAATAAAATCAATAAATATAATTATAAGAGTAAATAAAATTTTGATATACAGAGAAAAAATATTTGTTATACATTTTGATATACACAATGAAGAAAAATAAACTTAGGATATACATTTTGATATACACATACTCGATGTGTTATATAGTGCGATATAAAAAAAATATAAATTATTTTTATTGTGATATACATTGATATAGAGGCAACAATAAATTTTAAATAATTATAATATAATTTCATATTTTGTATATCCTAAGAAGGAAAATAAAATTTTAATATACATGTTTATATAAGCAAAGAAGAAAAAAAGTTATGATATACACATTATTGTTGTGATATACATTTATTGGCTACTTGGTGCCAATATTTATAATTATGGCTTTTTTCTGCCGATTATGTGGGTAGGTTGTCACACCATGCCAAAATCCCTAGTAACATTCCAGCTTGAAATGGGAAAAAAAAGGATCCATTGCCAACAGATGCACCTAAGTTCCGTGCCCAACTTAAATGGGCTGAATCCAGCTGAGATACAGGCCCAAAACATCCCAATCCTGGCCAACTTGAAACTAGAAATGACGTTGGATGGATCATTTTAAACTACTGTTCATATTTAGATCCTGTTAAGAAAATAACCTTGCTTCAAAATTAAAGTACGCTTATCAGAATTTTAAAACACCAAGAATCCTAATGATCACCAGAATTTTCAGCCAAAATAGAAAAAAATCTTGCGATAGCTTAGAGTTTTGTGGCCAATTACACAAAAAGTTTGAGACAATCATCAAAATTTGTGATCATCATAACTTACAAAATTATGGCAACAGTCGAAATTCTAGTGATCAGTTAGAATTTTAAGGCTAATTGCACAAAACTATGGCAACCGTCAAAATTTTGTGATGATTGTTATAAATTGCAACATTATGACATCTGCCAGATTTCTGGCGAATCACTATAACATTTGCCCAGGACTTTCAACAAGCGTGTTTCAAAATTCTAATTGAAAACTAATTTTTAATACTTTTCTTACCGGGATTAAGATTTAAATGGTGGCACTAAATGATCCTATTTATGTCAATTTGAAATCCAGCTGAAAGAGTCGTTTATGTTTTTCTTCACATGGAGTATTAAGTTTCATCACTCCTTTTTTTTATTTGCACCTACTTCATTTAGCAAAACACATATAAGAACCGAAATGATATTAAACTAACAGAAAATGATTGTATTTGTTGTTACTATTTTCGCTGCGGTGTGACAAATCTGAGTAGTTATTTGAAGTTACTTGTTTAATCTCATCGAAAATGTTTTCTGCTTCTTCGAGTAGCTAAATAGAAAATAGAGTAAATAGTAACGAGAAGGGTGGATAAATGTCACTAGTAGTCTGACTTGATAATTCCTTCGCTTCTGAACTAAATCCGAAATATTGAGATTAGAATTCTAATTTCGGTAACCAAATGACCAAAGGGTCTTGCAACCTATATAGATTGTTGGGGGAAAAAGAGTAACTGGGTAAATTAATGTTGACGCTATTGTTGGGCTAAAACGGCCCAATGACACTCTTTACATGGTGTGATATTGTCCGCTTTGGGCTAAGCCCGCACGGTTTTTCCCAAAAGGCCTCACACCATTAAGACCCTACACCTTATATGTAGACTCCCAATCTTTTCAGCTACCAATGTGGGACTTTGTTCGCACACCCAACAATCTCCCCCTCGAACTAAGTTCCACGTGGCCCACTACCACGATCCACGGGTCAATTTTCGAGATTCACTGTGTGCCACCCACATTGTTAAAGTATTATGGCAACCGAAGCCCGCAACTAGCTTCTTCTTGTGTGTGCACCGCCCTGCACCATCACTCCGCCATCTCCATACTCGTTCCGCTGAACATGGGCTCTGATATCAGTTGTTATGTCGAGGAAGAGGCAAACCCGAAAATAAAGAAGATAAAAAACACCAAATTTTAACGTGGAAAACCCTTCAAATCGAAGGTAAAAACCACGGGATCACAAAGATCCAAAAAGCTCCACTATAACAATAAGAGGGTTACAAAAGTTCTCCAAATTGGCTACACAACAAGGGCCAAACACGGAGCAACAATAGCAACAAGAGCAACAACTAATCAATTGAAGAAAGAGTATAATCCACAAAACGAAGCTGCTGTTCGAGGCTCGAAATCAGATGCTACGAGCCTCTAAATCCGATCTCCACCGTTCAAATCCAAGACCAAGATGTTACGAACACTCACTAAAAATTTCAGCCCGCTCCAACGGCTAACGAATCGGAAAACGTGATTTGAAGTTGGCTGGTCGAAATAAAAATCTGCAGCAAAACAAATACTTTTTTTCTCTCTTCTCTCTTGATGAAAGCTCTCTCAAAACCCACTCTTATGTGCTTAAGTCTTTCAAAGACTTGTATCAATGAGCATAGAATAATTCTCCAAGGTTGTCCTATTTATAGATCATGAGTGGTGCTTTCTCTTAAAGCCAAAACCCACTCAAAATAGGAATAAACCGAATCCAATTCCAAATAGGATTGGAAACCAAAAGAGAATAGGATTAGGCCATTAGGCCTTTGGCTGGACAACATGGGCATGTGCCCAACAAACTCCCCCTCCAGCCAAGGGGTCAAATGTGTCTTCAAGTAGAGGAACTATTGACAGGCTTCATGCCTGCCAATTTTCTGCAAAATTCATGTTTATCTGCAACCACCGCCTTTGTCAGCATATCCGAAGGATTTTCATCAGTGTGTATCTTCTCAACCTCAAATAATTTCTCTTCCACGGCCATTCTTATCCAATGATACTTTCTATTTATATGTTTGGTCTTAGAATGAAAAGTGGAGTGCTTGGTGAGACAGATAGCACTCTGATTATCACAAAATAAGATGTACCGTGGCTGCTCAAAGCCAAGATCATTAATAAACTCCTTCATCCATAATAGTTCTTTGGCACCTTCTGTGACAGCAATATATTCGGCTTCTGTGGTGGATAGAGCTATGCACTTCTGTAGTCTAGATTGCCAAGAAACAGCTCCCCCTGCAAAAGTGCTCAAATAACCGGAAGTGGATCTTGAATTATCAAGATTGCCTCCTAAATCAGAGTCTGTGTAACAAACAAGTTCAGGCTTGCCATTGCCAAAGCACAGCTTCAAATCTGCAGTACCTTTTAAATACCTTAATATCCATTTTACTGCATCCCAATGTTCTTTTCCAGGATTGGAAATGAATCTGCTAACAGTGCCAACGGCATGTGCAATATCTGGTCTGAAGAAGTTTTCTTGTACCCTTGTTCTTCAATGACAGATTCAAACTTCAAATACCATTGCCTTGGAGCTTGTTTCAATCCATATAGGCTCTTTTTCAATTTGCAGACATAATTTTCTTTTCCCTTAGTTACAAAACCCTCAGGTTGCTCCATATAAATCTCCTCATCTAAATCTCTTAGAAGATCTACAAGGGAGAAGCAAAAATCCATGCGCTATCCTCCTGATGAGTATGTACTTTTGACTGACATGGGAGAACCTGAGAATTATGATGAAGCCATGCAAGATAATCAAAAATATCTTGGTTACAGAAGACCGGGGGAGAGATAGAACAAGAGGCTCAAGGAATAGAGGTAAAAGTAGAAGTAAGTCAAGGTCCAAATACTATAATGTTACATGCAACCACTGTGGCAAGAAAGGACACATCAAAAGATTTTGCCGCAAGTTGAATCAAGACACTAGAGAAGGAAAGAAAGTTGAAAATAACGAGAACAATGTTGCTGCTATTGTTCAAGATGACCTTCTTTTTGCTTATGATGAAAACGTCATCAATTTGGTATCCCATGAGACGAGCTGGATAGTAGATTCTGGAGCTACCTCACATGTCACACCAAGAAAAGTTTTTTTTCATCTTATACTCATGTTGATTCTAGAGTGTTAAAGATGGGCAATGCCAGTGAAGTTAAGGTGTTTGGTGTTGGCACAGTTTGTTTGAAAACTAATAATGGTTCAACGTTAGTTCTTCAAGATGTGAAGCATGCTCCAGACTTTCCTTTCAATTTGATCTCCGCAGGAAGATTAGACGATGAAGGTTACCATAATGCTCTCTTTAACGGCCAATGGAAGCTCACCAAGGGCTCGTTAGTAGTGGCTCGAGGAGTCAAGTCTGGTCAATTATATGTGACGCAAGGCTCTATTCTTAATGACTCAATAAATCTGGTGGAAAGTGATAGTTTGTCAGAATTGTGGCATCGAACATTGAGTCATATGAGTGAGAGAGGGATTACGTGTTTGGCTAAGAAAAGTTTGCTTTCTGGAGTAAAACAAGCAAAGCTGCAAAGGTGCATACATTGTTTAGCTGGCAAACAGAAAAGGGTTTCCTTTCATAGTCATCCTCCCTCAAGAAAGCCCGATTTATTAGAGCTAGTACACTCTGGTTTGTGTGGTCCTTTTAAAGTAAAGTCAAAAGGTGATGCACTTTACTTTGTGACCTTCATTGATGATCATTCTCGTAAGCTCTGAGTGTAGCCTTTGAAATCTAAAGATCAAGCACTTGGCGTGTTCAGTTCTAGCTGCAACATTGTTGGGTGTGCGAACAAAGTCCCACATTGGTAGCTGAAAAGATTGGGAGTCTACATATAAGGTGTAGGGATCTCTTAATGGTGTGAGGCCTTTTGGGAAAAATCGTGCGGGCTTGGGGCAAAGCGGACAATATCACACCATGTTAAGAGTGTCATTGGGCCGTTTTAGCCCAACAACTGGTATCAGATCGAGGTTCAAGACAGGATCATCTTGGCTAGATTCCGCAGTTCTAGCCGCGACATATTTGACGATAATCGTGATTTTTGTTTGAGAAATTTGATCGGAGTGCTACGCACGTTGAGACAAACTTTGTGGCGGAGATTTGGAGATGCGACCTATTGAAGGCTATGTGAAGAAGGTGGATCAAGTTTATTTTGTTAGAAAATTCAGACCAAGGGGGAGAATTGTTAGGTGTTTGCCATAATTTTCTTACCATATTTGGTTTTCCTATCTCTAAGGGCAATATAATTACCTTAACTGGGTTTTTCTTTTTGTAAAAGGAAATTATAAATCTCCAATATTTGGCTAGTCCTTTTCTTGTAGGAAAAGGTTTGGACTTCTATAAATAGAGGATCCTTCCTTCTCATTCAGTAGCATCCACAATGTAGCCGTATGGGGTTGAGAGTCATGTTTAGGGGGAAAACTTTACGGGACAAGTGTTAGTGTCACTTGTTTTTGCCTCTTCGTGAGGTTGTTCTCTCGATATTTTGTACTCTCTTTTTATTATAGTGGATTGCTCATCTCCGTTGTGGACGTAGATCAGTTGACCGAATCACGTTAAATGTTTGTATCTCTTTTGGTAGATTTCTCCTTTGTTATTGGATTTATCATCATTGCTAGCTTTCACATGACACCTGATTTTTTCGGTCCTTACAGCTATATAGAACAAAATAAAACGACAAAGGAGCAGTCATTGACTCATTTCTGATCTCATTCTCAGCACTGACAACCACAAATATCAATGAGATTGCAGATTAAAAACTTACACAAAAAGTAAAAACGTATATACACCACATTCTTCTCCATACGAATATATCTCCCCTAGTCATGAACAATTGAATGAATCAGCATTGAAGCCTCATCTGTTGCCGGAACTGCATCATCTGCTCTCAAACCAAAATAAACACTCATTTCAGTCTAAAATAACTTGTTGTAGCAGGTTGCTTGCCTTATTCTCGAAGATAACTACGGTTCTTTACATAACTACGCTTAATTATCTTTTAGATGACAATTCTTTAAAATTAAACAAGACCAAAAAATGAGATGAAAACATGAACATACCTGCAAGAGGAGTTGGCAAGTGGGAAACAATATTATCTAAAACACTTGCAGTTTCATTTTCTTGAACCACCCCACCTTTTTGTCCTTCTCCACTGCTGTTTTCTTCGTTGATCTCAACAGCATTTATATTTTCAGTTGGATGAAAAATATTGGAGATGAAATTGTTGATTATCCCTCCACTTCCACTGACACTATTACCACTTTGCTCAGAAGCTATATCTTCCTTGTTATTATCCTCATCTAAGAAATTATTTTTTCCATTGTTGCTAGCATCCCCTGCTCTAGGGCTCATTAAGTTGGAAATGAAATTATTAATAACCCCACCTTCTGTGCTGTCTTTTCTCTCTTCACTTATTTCTCCAACATTTTCTTGAATTTGTTCTTCCACTTCTTCATCTCCTGATCTAGGGCTCATTATGTTGGAAATGAAATTATGAATAACCCCACCTTCTTCCTTTCCTTTGATATCTTTACTCTCTTCACTTATTTCTCCAACATTTTCTTGAATTTGTTCTTCCACTTCTTCATCTCCAAAGCTAGAGAAGTTCAAGTTTGGAATATCAGTCAAACTATCTTCCATTTCTAACACTTTCAGGATATTTTAGCCACTTTTTGCTAAGTTCAAAAAAAAATTGTGAGATTGAAATCGTGATGATAAAGGTGGACAAATGTCCTTATTATAGGTTATTCAGTATGGTAATAGCTCCACGTATTTTAAAGACTTTGTCTGATGTTGGTCTCTGTATTTCAGCACCCAATGAGTGAAACACATGTGAAAGGTCATTGGATTCTCTCTCACCCCTATGCTATTTCTGCAAAGTCGGTTGTAATGTTAAATTTATAACGCGAATGGTTACAATGATTTTGAATTTTTAGTTTTGGTAAGGCCAACAGGTAAGGTGATTACACAATTAGGCTAAATATTTTTTTTTACAGTATTAAGTTATCTTTATCCATTATAAGAGATAGCTTTGTTATTTTTTAAAGATTATAAGTCGCACATATTTAAGAAAATTTAAATATCCTTCAAATGACTTAATAATACATAAAAAATTATACGCGTATATTACTTTACTCATTAGGTTCTAAATTTTTTGATAGATAATGTGAAATAGAGAGCTGCCATTTAAATTCAACGAGCCTCATTAAAAAATTGGTTTTCGTTCTCTTTTATTTGTTGTGAACAATTCCTTTAACATAATCATATTGCTCATTAGAGTAAGATTTTATCCTTAAAAAGTACAAAAGAGTTATAGTGTTAAAGCATATGACACATTTGTTCGTCCAATAAAAGTCTTCATCATTCACATTCTAATTATCTAGGAATATGGTGGGATTGATGGAATCTTCTAGTGTTAGGACCGAAAAAATCAGGTGTCATGCGAAAGTTAGTAAAGCATATAACGTTGTCCGGTCGATTAACATACGTCCACGGACGAAGATGAGCAATCCACTATAATTAAAGAGAGTACAAAATATCGAGAGAACAAACTCACGAAGAGTCAAACACAAGTGACAAACTAACACTTGTCCCGTAAAGTTCTCCCCCTAAACACGACTCTCAAACCCCATATGGCTACATTGTGAATGCTGCTGAATGAGAAGGATGGATCTTCAATTTATAGAACTCCAAACCTTTTCCTACAAGAAAAAGGACTAGCCAAATATAAAAGAATTATAATTTCCTTATACAAGAAGAAAAACTCAATTATGGTAAGAAAATCAGTACAATACCTTACATCTACCTTTAACAAGAGGTATTGTATTCTAGTCTTGAGAATTGAAAAATTTCTGATGAAAAGTATTTCCTTTTAAATAACTTTACTAGCACGAATTTAAATTAACCGTACTGTTATAAATAGAATTTTATTTATGGTGAATGTCTATATTTAGATAGATTCTAGGGTTTATTACTTGGTGGCTAAGTCACCCTCTCCCTATAAATAGAGGGTTCTATTCCATTGTAATTCATCCCATATCAATAAGAATTCTCTCTCTCTACTTTTCTCTACAATACTATTCTTCTTCTTTTATTGTTTCATAACACGTTATCAGCACGAGACTCTAACCAATTGAGTAGAAGCTTTGGGATTGAGCATAATGATTGTCAATTATTCCATGAACTTCCTTCATGATTAAATTCTGGATTTAAGGTAAGTATTTTACCGTATTTTCCTCTTTTCTTTTATACTTTGATTTTAAATACAAGCAAAGACAACAAAGTTTGATTATAACTCTAATGGAATTTGTAAGAAATTATAACCACCTGAAGTGGTAAAATTTCTATGCCCGCCATGATCAAATTCACGTATGATTGTGGGCAAAGAATTGAAAACCCGTCCCATTGAATTTGCTCCATTCTCATTCCCTTAAGAGAATGTGATAGCAGTATGTGATAAGTCTGAAAGAAGACAAAATTATCACTATGAATGTATCAATGGATATGGACGTGGCAATAGACAAAATTATAATCGTCATCATTTGTGGTAATGAGAACAATAAGGATTCTCAAAATAATCTTTCACTCTGTGAAAAATATTTGTCATCGATTTGACATGAGATTTTATAAAGCACATATAGACGATTATGGTCCATTCATGATGTGAATGTGACAACATCTGATTTATGAATACATATTCATTCTTCAAAGAATATGAACGTGCTAGTGGTAGTGAATATACCGCACTCACCTCTAAAAGGAGGTTTGAGATGATATAAGAAAATAATGTCATTATTATGGCATGAATGGTCATTGGTCATGTACCTATTGTACGCCAAAATATTTTGGCATTGTGATTAACGGTAATGCAAGAAACAGATCTTGCATATAATTTTGACCATAACCATAATGGTATAACTTTCTCTTTAAAAGAGATATTCACCATATTGATGTTGATGAATATGTGGTAGTACCAAGTTAATTGAGAGTTCTGGAAGAGCCAATTACTACTATTTTGGAGAATCACAATTGATTACCAATAAGGTATTGTGTTGTAGTAAGTCTCAAAGAAACTTTTCAGTTTCCAAAGTGTACGCGAAAGCGGTTGATTATATTGAGACTATAAATAAAGGAAAGATTTAATATCTTCTATTGCTACAACTTGTAGCAGGGTAATATGTATGTGAAAAGCTACCCGCTTTATTCTCCAATTTGTACTACATAAACAAAAGAATACCACAATGAAGTGGATATTTATTGATATAAAAACACATATCATAAAAAACTTGGAGTTTATTCATAATTTCACACATCATGGTGTAAACCTGAAGTTTATCAATATTGATAATTTATCCAGTTGGCATAATTGGTTTAGCCATATTAATTTAAGCATGATGTGCAAAAATAAACGAGAATTCACATGGGTAAATATTAAAGAACTAGAAAGTTCTTTACGAATTCTCTTATATTGCTTGTTCTCATTAATTAATAGACAAATTAAAATTGGGATTGAATCCCATGAATGCTGGAAATATCAAAGGTGAATATGGGCCCATTCACCTGCCATGTATACCACATAAGATGCATCTATGAGATGGTTACATGTGCGATTATTAATAACCCGCAACACGGTGTTTTGCGAGGTAACTTGCTCAATAATTTAATTTCGAGCATAATTTCCAGATTTTCCATTCAAGAAGTTCATCTTGATAAGTTGGTCTACATCACAGTTGGTTTAGCAAAATGATTTATTGAGTGCCTCCACTTAATAGCTAAACTATTGCTTATGAGAACAAAGTTATCTATATCAGTTTGATATACATTATATACCAAAGTATATTATTTTCTCCCCTCACAAGTGGTTCAGGGTCAGGAACCAAATAATTCCATCTTATTATTATTGATGTGCGGTGTATATTATGATTAACACCATAACGCACAAAGATGGGTTCTCAAAGTTGGGGAAACAAGTTAGTTTTTCTTACATGAGGGGGAGACATGATAAACAGTTGAGAAAAAGTTACATGGAATGAATTATCATTAGTACATTTAGATCCTCGAATAAGATAATATGAACTTGAAGTTCATAAAAGGATAATTCATGTGCAATTTATTGCAAAGCATGTCAGACGCATTTGCTGACCCAAAGAAAGTAACTATATTCTCATTGCAAATGCTCCTATTAGAATAAGTCCTAAAAGGACAAAGTCTATAGTACGCTTAAAGCATATAGACAAATCGGTTTCAAATAAACTTCTTGATAAAGAAGATGAGCAAATGATCTAAATGATCATAATAAAGGAGGCAAGTGATCTAGAAAATCACATGACATAACACTTCATAAAATTTCAAGAGAGATTCAGGTACCTGAAAATATGAATGAAGAGATCTCTATGTTATGTCTTTATGAAAAATATTGAAACTGATATAAAATGTTTGTCGACAACATCTATGATAACGCTAAATATATATATATGAGGATCTTAAGTCTGAAGAAACAATTCAAATAGAATTGGTTTCATATGAAAGCCATGTAGTTTGAACATGTAGTTCAAACACTTGAAAGTATAAGTCAATGGTATGTGCAATCAGTTTTCGATATCTTATATGTCTAGCATGACATGAAAACTTGATATGCATCTAAAGTCTATTATATGGCTTATATAACTTAACAATCCCTGAAGGATTTGAATTGCTTAAAGCATATAGAATTCATGGTCATGAAGTACTACATCCTCAATACAATTTGTGCACAAATGTATCTTGCTATAACTATATGCATGATAATATGATAGCAAGTGTTTTCACCTCTATGTGAAGATATTGAACTGACGATTCCAACAAGATCATATGAAGACAATCCATCTCTATCAAGAATGATGATTTCAAGGTGCAATATATTCATTCAAGTTAATATTGCTGATTTGCTTATCAAATATCTACCAAAGATCTTTTGAAGATGGTGCACAAGATTGGAATGCAAATGCTTAAGGATGTGAAGTGATGCTCTCATGAGGGGGAGTTAATACGCGTTGTACTCTTTTTCCCTTACAAGGTTTTGTCCCACTGGGTTTTCCTTGCAAGGTTTTTAACGAGGCAACCAAAAGGCGTATTTTTAGATATGTGTACTCTTTTTCCTTTTCTAGAATTTTTTTCCCACTGGGTTTTATTTTAGTTAAGGTTTTAACGAGGCATATTATCTGTTGAATAGACATTCAAGGGGGAGTGTTATAAATAGAATTTTATTTATGGTGAATGTCTATATTTAGATAGATTCTAGGGTTTATTACTTGGTGGCTAAGTCACCCTCTCCCTATAAATAGAGGGTTCTATTCCATTGTAATTCATCACATATCAATAAGAATTCCCTCTCTCTATTTTTCTCTACAATACTATTCTTCTTCTTTTATTGTTTCATAACACGTACGTAATAGTAGGTATCATATTTTGACTTATCAGAGAAAATATTCAATTAAGTCACCTACTAGATTCTCAAATAAATTCTATTTCGGAAATATCTAGCTTACTATAGGTCAAAGACTGGCTTTGGTGTGGCTGCAAAGCTAAATCTATTACTTATTGGAGGGGACGGTGCAGCATTTTGTTGGGAAAAGCAACAAATGATATCTGCCATGCAATGTCGCAAAGGCCAATAAAAAATGTGGCTTCATACTTTTGTTACAAAATTATCTTATAACTCTAATTTTGACGACCAGTGATTGGATGAATAAATCCCTTCACCGTTAATTAGATCAGTGATTGGATGGACCACAATGCAAGTACAAGGCACCAGGTTGGGAAACCCAAAAAACGTTTAATTTTCATTTTTTGAACTTTACCTTCTTATATGTGACAATTTCCTGTCCAACTATAGCTATCTATATTAACACCAAAATATTTGCGCATATTACTTTCAATTGACCTGCAGTATTTAGTACAACATAAGAAAGACTCGATCATGTGGCAGAAATTTGAGAACCAAATTTCTGTACTTTCTTATCTCAATCGTAGATATTCATATACAATAAAGTTGCATCTTTCCAGTACATTTTACTCCTACTTTTAAGCCAATTACCCTCCTTACTTTTACATGCCTGAGTAAGCAATATTTCTAGTAGAAAATGAAACTAGAGAATACTTTTCCCTTATATTGATAGTCGAATACATCTTCGAATTACTCTTAGAAAAGCGATCTCTGATACATTTAAGACTTGAGTCATTAAAAATTTAAAAGAAGTAGAACTCAGTTGAACGATAATCTAATTGTTGCAATTTGCAACCTGTATGCATAAGTGCTCGAACTGGAAAAGTTACTAACTCATCGCCAAACTAAAAAAACACTCTCATAACGTTGCATGTCCTAAATTGCATCAGATTCTAACCATCAATGTACAGGGACATCTGTAGTTTGATTTACAGAAAAGAGAAGAAAAGTTCTTTTGAGTTCAAAGTGTAGTCAAGTTGAACCAGCAATGTTACTCATCATCACTTCGAACTCGACCAAACAATGCAATTTCCTCCTCAGCTCTCTTCTGAGCAGCCCTCTTCTGCTCCCTTTTGGTTTCTCTAGCAGCAGAATCAATTTCGACGTTCTCCATTACTTTACGGAAACCGGGAACTGTCCTCTCCATCTTGTTGTACACTTGGACACTGAGGTCGTGGAATATCTCAAACAATCTCTGCATGTCAAATGCAGAAACTGTCAATATGTGAATTTTTTTAGCAAACCAATTTGAAGATCAATTTAGCAACTGAATATAGGGGCTTGCACCATAAAATAACCTGTGTGAAATAGACATAAAGCTTTCCTAAAGGTACATCAAACATGTCTAGTTCTAATCTAAAACTAGGAGATCACAATCACACGAACCCAGTATGACATAACGCACCGAATAGTAGTAAATTAGTAATATAGAGGAACTAACTTGTAATAATACACACCACAAAATCACGAAAAGACAGAGTTAAATTTAGCAACCAACGTGAGAAGAAAGAAGCACTGTTCTTAATAGGTACCAAGCACGTACCATGACATCCTTGTTCCAGTCAGCAATATATGGAGGGCCCGTTGTGTATGTACCAAGAGGCTCGCGGTACCATTCACCACCATATGTTATTTGATCCATGGCTTGTTCAACACTAAGAACCTCCCATGGCCTCAATCCAGGGATAACCTTCTCCAATTCTTTCCTGTTTCACGTGGATGACCAGCTAAGTTATCATATATGAATCAACCCCGCCCAAATCTTTCGTAAAAAGATTCTAGAAGTTGATGCAACTGAGACTCATTAAGTTATAATAGTGAAATATAGAACAGAAATCCATAATGTTTCTGATATGCATATGTTAATGACAAAGTAACGAATGCAAGATCAAATGATCTAAATTCTAACATACCTATTGACCAACTTAGTAATTACATATGCATCAACCCAGAGCAACGACTCTGCGAAAGGAATCTAAAGTTGTGTGTGAATGCCTAAGTATGGTTCAACCCAGTGCAACACTTTCCATGAAATGATAGACGTGATGGCATTATGGACCACGAACTGAAATCTACATTATAACTGACAGTGCGTTACAATAAGTGAAATCATCCCAAACTACAAGGGCGGTCTGATAATTACACTTTTTACAGGTATAAAACCATCACGAACAATCCCACCTTCTACCCTGCTTCAACAAATTCAAAATTTCATGTACTTCCTCACAAAAAATAATCACAATTTCATGTGAGGTTCATCGCTCGTTTCTTTCTTTTTTTATTTTTGGTTAACTTACAGAATTACATACCACTCTACACCACAAGTAACATTTTGACCAAGCACATCACAAGTAAACGTTCTCAAAATTGTTTAGTTATAAATTCTAATAAGACCACAAATGCTGCAAAATGAAATGACTCTACATACCTAAGATCTTTTGGAATGTATTTGTTTGGCATGTGGTCAGCCTCCAAAATTGATGTCAGCTCTGAGCCACTAGCCCAAAGAAACAAGGCATGACTCGGAGTCCTTACACCAGGCCATACACCATCATTTGCTTCTAAAACAGCCAAATCACGCCTTTTACTCTCATAAGCTTCTTCTTGCATCTGCTTATATGTCTTCGGCTCATGTCCTTTGAGAGGAACCCAAGGAGGTATACCTTTCTGTAGTTTGTGAAGGAAAGCAGTAGCAGCAGCACCTAATCTAACTGCACTTCAGCCAAATAAATGCCAGGATTTATCATATGGCAACATGGACCTCAACCGCCACAGACTGAGAGAAAACAGACCAAATTCTACAACTACAGAACAAGCACAAAGGTAACCTAGCATGTGATATAAACAACTGAAGATGAAAACCTCATAATTTTACGATGCTTGCTGGGAGTAATATATGATTTACTGAAGACCATATGCTTCAGAATGCCAGGGATATTAGAAGACCTCTATTTTCTGATTAAATTTAAGTTTGAAAAACCAACTAATGTGCAGACTAATCTTGACAAGTTGTGCATTGCTGGCAAAGACAAACCTTCCCAAGTGGCAATTGCTTTTTCCAGACCATAAACCATTCCAATGGGAGCCCATTCATCCATATCCTCACCCCAAATGAAAGTATGCTTATCAATGATTCCAGCACCCCAAGCAGTCTTAAGCTGTATCAATTCCATTGGTCCCCTTGAACGACCTAATCGATCCTTGTAAAACCACCCACCGCTCCTCATAATAACTGAGTTCAAGCATTATGACAACAGTCAGCCGTTGAAAAATAAGAATGAAACAAAACCAATAAAACATCCCATAGAATCTAGTTGAAACACCACAATAACACCAGATTACTTTAAAAACACCACAAAGCATCAGAATCACTAAAGAGCCAGCTATTTAGCTTCAAATCAAATATTACCATAAATCATGATACGATCATAGAATATAGTTTAGAGAATAACAAATACACATCAATTTGGTAAAATTGGTGGAGAAACTAGAATTAAAGTGGCATTCAACTCTAACAGCTGCATTAGTGAATTGGCAGAATTGCCAAGGCAAGGATGTAAACTATGATGTGTTGGAAGGAAAATGATGACGACAGCATACTGATTAATCACCAAATTCACGTAACACTCTAGCTGTAAATATTTTGTATGATGTCAGTGTCACAAGGAAACCAATCATGCCAGCATAGTGATGATACACTAAATACATGTCATCAGCTCTTAGGTTTTAGTTTCACATCGCCAACCGGTACAAATTTGAATAAAAATTCTTTGCAACAGTTTCTTACACTCAGAACAAGTGTGAGAATGTGTCTTTTAATCACTGCAAGATCTTCTTCCAGAGGGGATTTAGCACTTATGCTCCATCCCCTTATTTGAGGGATCTCTGACCACATTGATACACATTAAATTCCCTTTAAAAACAAGAATGCTTGATAAGCTAACAAGTGAACTCCTTGTTTTTGTCATCAGTTGCAAATGAAAGTCAAGCAAATTTTTTCTTCAGATGCCTATTGTCCGAAGAAATCAAAAACAGACAACAATATACACTACTCAAAAATTGCAAGCATCAATGGAAGCAGAATGGCCATCAAGATGACTATATAAATCCACAAGAAAAGCAGTACCAGGTTACCAGCAGCTTAATTCAAGATTGAAATTTAAAATAAAATAAAATAAGGCTCCAACAACCTAGACTCTTACTGATTGTCCTAATAATTCATATTTTATGGAGCCAAAATCCTAAGCAGTTCAAGGTGTACGGAAGAAGTGAGCACAATATTTACTAGTAACTGAAAGAATAATAAAATCTCGAGCATATTAACTATATATAATGAATATAAGCAAACTTACAATCATAATATCGCTTTTCAAGCTTTTTGTACCCAATAGCCTGCGCAGCATCAATGGGCTTCCCAGGTGGGTATGGTCGTTGACGAAATCCCCAAAGCCCAAAATAGAACTGCTTTGCAAAATCCCAAAACTTATCATTTGATTCCTTCTTTGTCTTTATGGCTTTTCTGGGAATTGGCCTCCCATCCAATCCAATCACATTTGGCACTGCCTTCACATAAATCAAAGAAAACTTCTCTCAGTTGGGGAATTCTTGAAACAGACTGAAAATACACAGTTAACAAATTCCGGGTATTATCCAACAATCACACTCATGATCATCTTCAAAAACTACTGTGGTAACTTAAACTTTTACACACTTATGACTTATTAAGAAAGACATTTTTTATAACTTATCATAGAAAGGAACTTCAATGCTACATAAGTTATCTTTAGAAACAAGAAAAGACTGTCACTTGTAAAGTTAAATTGCAAATAGGCAACTCACAAACTATACCGTGTCCCATTTTATGTTACAGTATCTGAACGAGGTTCAAGATGTTAATTTGGCATTTGTATCATATTAGTAGTGCTGAAAGAAACATTAAAGTTAGCTGCTTAAAAACTGATTTCATAAACAAAATATCACATCAAACTTCAAATTTGAACTGTTAAACGAATTTAAACTTTTGAAATTCATAAAAGTGGTATAAGAAATTCCTAGTAATGAAATTGTGTCCATCAAATTAAGTTTCATGTCCTACTTTACTGATTTCTTCCTTACTACCTAATCACCAAATAACAAAAAAAAAAAAAAAAAAAAAATCTTCCTTACTACTGAGAGAGAAGTTTCGCAACGAAAAATCCTAGGCTAGTTGGCATCTGAATCCTGAGCAAATTCTGGTCCACTATATGAATAATGAATCTTCAATATCTATTTCTGGACATGTTTCATTCCAATACTTTAATAATTGGATTCTCTAACACTACGAATTCTGGACATTTTCTACAAATATCTAAATAGACTAAAAAAGATTCATAACATACATCAAAAACCTTGCTATTTTGCTACTAAACAAAAAAAAAAAGAATTTTTTTTAATACCTGCCACAATTTCTTATCTTCACTTCTAAAAGGAGCAGAATTCTCTTTCAGCTCAAGCTCATTAAGCTTATCCGCAATCTCTTCAGCTTGGGCCAAGAACTGGACCACTGGGCTTTCCTTAAACTCAGCCCACCACTTGTCATTCTCCTCAATCTCTTCTTGAGTCGGGTTCTCCTTCTTCTCGAAAATCGGGTCCTCGTTCAGGATCTTCTCCACTTCGGGCGCGTGCCTTAAGTCGGGTCGGGTTTCGCATTCCCAGTAGAACTGGTCCAGCATTCTCCGGTAATGACCCGGTTGTTCTGGAGCTGTTTTTTTGGGTTTTCTTGAAAATGGGTTTGAAATGGCTGCAAAAGGTGGGGAATTTTGCTGGGTTTTAAGGGAATTAAAGTGGGTTAAAAGATTAATCGGTTGAAATGGTGTTGATGGTTTGTTGAACCAGTTGTTATTGAACGGGTTGAAATTTATGGACCCCATGAGTAAAAATGGAAATTTGTTAAGTTTAGGGTTTATGGGGTTTTAGGATTAGAAATTGCTTAGAGTTGAAAAGATGTTTGAAAATGGCGGACAAAACCGTGACTGTGAGCGACTGGGAAAATGAGGAAGACAAAGGAGTGGACGGCAATGTCTTGGGCTGCGTGGTAAGTCCATGAGTTTGTAAAGCCCAATTTTATTGAAATCTTAATACAAATAGCCGGTCAAATTTACTATATACTTTTTTTAGTCGGTATATATAAATTATATATTAATTATATATAATTATACACATATCATTCATACATTATATATTATATATTTCCGACTATTTTTAGTTTAAGCAATTGAATGAGCCGATATTTAGATAATTTTTCTAATTGATTCATTAAGAAAGATGGCCCAATAAGATTATTGTTCACAAGAATTATGCTGGATGGAACTTTTTAAAAGAGGTTTGACACAGTTACCCACAAAAATAAAATTATTTATCCTTGTCTACCTATTTATTTTTCTACCCATAAACTAATTACATTTCCTACTCATAGTAATTTTTGTAGGAAATTTTTTCTTGATTCTCCAATTCTTTTTTATTTCTATGCTTCTTTTCTTCTTCTTTTTCTTTTTCTTTTCTTTTTTGCTTTTCTTTTTTCTAGTTTTCTTCTTATTTTTTTCTTTTTACCTTTTCTAATTTCATTTAACTTCTTTCTTTTTATATTCCTTTTATCTTCATAATCTAATTTTATTTACCTTTTTTACTATTTTTATTATTCTTTTTTTATACAATAAGAAAAATAACTGATATAGTAAATATTTTTCACCTTTTTTTAATATAACTAGTACAATATACATTTTATTTTATTTTTCTTTCTTATTTTTTAATTCAATTATTAAACTGAAATAATATCAGTTGTCACTTGATCTAATACACTGAATATCACATTGACAGCTGTTGAGCACCATAAATTACATAATCAGATTCTAAGAATCAACACGTGATTGCCATGCAAACCTTGATCTCCTTCCATATAAATATCAATACACACTCTACCATTAGCAGTAATACAACCAGTTATAGAGCAAGAAAATATAATCTACGACAACCAAATCTCCATATATACTAGTTAGAATAAAAATGATAATAAAATATTTAAAAGTAGAACAAAAGTATAAGTAGCGAAAAAGACTTCTAGTACCATGTGATACCAATATGGTATATATGTATACCAACAGAGCATATGATTTCTCTAGAATATTGCTACAACTATCTGTGACTATATTACTCTACCAAAATATTAAAGGACGCAATAAAAGTATGAGAAAATTCCATGCTCGTATTGCAAGCTAAATATTCGCAAAACAACTTGTTCATTTCGTATACTAAGAGGGTATATAGTTGTATGGGGTCGTTCCAACAATTGCCTATAACTATAAAAACTATTAATACACATACTTTATGTCCATCGGCACACAAAAATTCCAGCATTATTGCAACTCATGTTGATATAAATAATTTCATAATATAATTCACTTAAAATGCAGCTAAAACAACCAAAACAATGTTCAAACTACCATATGATACCAATATGGCATATAACTATACCAACATGGTATACAGTTTTACTAGTTAATTTCCGGCAACTATATGACTATACTACTATTACATAACACACATGCATAAAGAGAAAAATAAAAAAAATAGTGTATCACATATTAATATAATAAGGTATTTCAAGATATTGTACTATATTACTATTATTAAAAGAAAATCAAATATTGTACCAATTAAATGCAGCTAATACAACCAACAAATAATTCAACTAGCATATGATACCAATATAGTATATAGCTATACTAATAGGGTATATAGTTGGAATGAATTGTATACTAAAATGGTATATTTGTATACTATTTGCGTATACAATACAAATTCGTCTTCTTCTCTGGTTCAACTATATTTCAACCCAAATTTCTAAAATTTACTACAAAATCTCCACCAAATTGACTAAAACTTTAGCTACAACCTCCAATCAACTTTCCAAACTAACCCATACAGGATCGGATCAAAACAATTAAAAACTCAAACAAACCAAGTTATGTGTTTCAAGCTTCAAGATCCGTCAATGGTGGATTTAAATTTTTGTAAAATAAATCTCCAAAAACCAGCATCAAAGGTACAATCTACACATCAAAGAACAATATTAGCTACATTTAATTGGAGACCAATGGAGTAGTGCTGGATCGATTTGATTCTTGCAGTGCTGGATCGATTTGCTTCAGCACACCTGCTTATAATAACACACCTGCTTACTATTTTTTTCCATGTATGCTAACACGCAAAAGTAATACAAGAAGGAATTATCTCCTAATGAAACTGCATTTCACTAATTTGTCCTTCAACGAGTACAAAATATAAGCACCACGCAAGTATAAAAAAACTGCACTTATTACAAAAGAATATTCCATGTCCACCACTCTATATTAAAAGGTAAAGATGACACTAAAAATCTGTATTAAAAAGGAAGAAAAATAAAAAAACGATTAGCTAACCACTCCAAAGAATCTAATGTGGGCGGGTAAATAGTATTGATTGCATAGGTAGGAAAGGTAAATAGTTTAGGTATGAGAATTTAAGGGTAAATAGTTTGAATTCAATAGGTATAAAGTGAGATTTTCCCTTTTTAAAACCACCATTTAAATTTTGATTTTGCTTAGAAAATTTTAAAAAAAATAGGCCCACGTCAAAATTTTGAAGCACCAAAATTCTGACGATTATCATATTTTTCAGTCACAGTGCTGAAAAATTTGGCAGTTTAAAATTCTAGCATCTTGCTTCAAAATTTTGGTAGTGTTTTAAATTCTATCAAATTTTGGCAGCTTGTTTTAAAGGCCTGGCCGTGTGCTTTAAAATTCTCGCTCAAGGCTCAAGTTCTAGCTGTTTGATCAAAAAGTGCTAAACTTTTCGTTAAACTAATTAATAAAGAAAACGGAGGAAAAATCTTAGCCAAACATAATTAACTTTAGATCTAAGCATATTGAATACGAGAATCGAATGAGACCGAGCTTGTATAACATTTCTTTGGATGATTAAAAGACATCAAACGTAAATGATAAGCTTACATCTTTGATACAGTGTTATGTACTTGTAAGAGCAAAGAAGAAAAGGAAGGAATCTCATTGATAACTACGAGCTCTATCTTTTCTGATTCAACAATGACGATTTCAAAGACTTGTAACCAAAATCTAGGCTTTTTCTCTATCGTTGGAGGTCTCTTCCCGTTCTTCTGTTCCTTTTTTCTCTTTTTCGGGAACCCCCTTTTCTTGCCTTCTTCTGTCATATATATATTACCAATCTTCCCCTTTATCCAACGGTCTTTAACCAGCATACCCTCTCTTGACTATACTCTTCCTTACTCGCTCAAGTATTACGACATATGTTCTGCCGTGTAAGCCTTCTGATGGCTCGATCTCAGCAGTGGCCGAGATACTCGTCGCCATTACGCCTCGTGGGTACGACTATGGCTTGGTTGACCCCTTACCATTCCTTTTAATGATAACCCATTTGTGGTCCGATTTTGACCCATACATTTAGTCCCTCCGCCCGTTGGGGTCGCCTCTTGGCGAGCTCGATGGGCGGATTCTATTGCAAGAATTAGGAGAAATCTGGACATGTCATGCGAGGAACAAGGTCCTTATGGCGAGGTAGCGACGTGACGCTTCGAGAGTTTCATTGGACCGTTACGTCGGTTCAGAATTGGATCGTCACACCAATTCAGGATATCATGAATTCTTATTATGCATCATTATGGCGCACGTTCCCCAGGCACCGTATCGTTTCCTATGCCCTTTCCGTTTTCTGATTGGTGGCTCTTGGTTTTCCCGCTCAGGGCATTTATGTCCCTATAAGTAGGGGAGAAGCCTCTCATTTGATTGTTGCGCTTTTCAATTGTCTAAGAAAGAATTTTTCAAACTTCCTCCTCCCTCTCTAATCTTTCATACTTCTGCTTTCGCTAGAATTCGCTGTGACCATTACCTTTTTTCCTTTGTCGTTCTTGTTTATTTCGATCAAAGAAGACAAATGTCTAGTGCTCCTTCCCAGTCTGATAAAGCTGTTGGTGCTCCAGTGCCGAAAAGTGACGTATCCCCACTCGAAGAGGGAGTGGAGGTGGTGGAAGACGAGGGGTTTCCGACGGTGTATGAGGTAGTCCCCCATCCGGGGAAGATGAGGACTGATTTTAACAGCCCTGTCGGAAATAAACCGGAACCCATTCCTTCCACTATGGATGATGCGCCGAGCACGGCACTCAAAGCCAAGTGGGTAATCCCCGATCATATCGAAATGAGGCCGGCGGGAAAGGACATAGTACATTTGCACCGCCCGGGCTACTGCGCGTTTTACGCATATCCCTTTATTTTCGGGTACACGCTCCCCCTTCTTTCTCTGGTGGTGGATTTCTGCCGCTTCTAAAAGTGTGCCCGACTCAACTCTCTCTGTATGCGTACAAGCTCTTTCTTATGCTCATCAAGTATGCAGAGCTGGCCGGCCGAGGAATTTCCCTAGGGCACATGCTCCAAATCTTCGCCCCTCATTTTCTTCGGGGTACGATGATTCATATGCGCCATCGAGGAACCAAGAGTTTGGTGGTGAAGATGGACAATAAGGCCAATCGCCGCTTTTGGGAAATCAACTTCTATGTGCGGACAGAGCACCTTGTGGTGAACTCAGCAGGGTTTCCAGAGACGTGGAACTTTGCTCGTAAGTTTTCCCCTGTTTACTTTGTGATTTTTCTTAAGATGGTCGTCAGTTGCCTTCCTTTTAGCGACTTTGCTGAGGATGTTTTTTTCTTTTGCAGCTGAGAGACTACCTCCCCCGCTAGTTGCCGATATCCGCGAGTGGGTGAGCACAATTCTCCCCCACACGGTGGGGATTCGTGAGTGGGCGCCTTTCCATGAGAAGTTTGGGTGCAAGCCTCTTACTGGTGAGTCGTCTTGTTGAAGTTTTTCCTTGTTCGACACTTCGTAGTTTCTTTAACCTTGTCTTTATATGATCTAACCCCTCCTTGTCGACAGGTCAGAGAGGAGTGAGAAGGACGAGGGCTCCTCCGCTTACATTCTGTCAATCGGCGCCCTCTGCCCGGCCTGCGCCGAGGGCTGCTGCCCGACCTGCACCGAGA